ATTGCTCTCGTTACCCTTCGTTGGAAGGGAAGGAGGAGACGCTGGAGGTGGGGTTTGAGATGGAATTTTGAACTCCCTCTTGCACCCACAGGCACCCTCTCCTCAGCTGTCTGTGCCAGTGAGTCATTGTTGCCTCTTAGCAGCCCTGGGGATAAAGCCGTGCTCCCGTTTCTGGTGGAGCCGGGTGAGGCGGGAGCCTTTCTGTGGGGGATAAAAACTCCTAGAAGGGGGAGGAGAGGACCTGTGAGAGAGGTGAGGTTTTGGGATGCTCAGGCACAGCGGATTGCAAGTTTGGCTGGGCAGTGAAGGACAAGGTAAGGCTCTGTTTTCTTCCTGGAAGCCGATGCTCCTTCGTTCTCGGGCCGTTGGTCTGGTTGAATATGAGAGCGACCAAGCAAAACAGCTGGAATTTCTTTAAAATTTTTTTAAAATGTCAAGCTTTTTAAGCTCTGGGTGTGTTTAAGTTCACAGATTTGTGCCCCCCCCCCCCCTTGCATAACAGTGAGACTGAAATTTTGGGGCTGGGGGGAGGCGGTTTCAGCTTTTCAGGTAAAAATAGAGGCACGTAGGCCTCGGTCGGTTTGATTGTTCTTCCACGTGGGCCTGTGCTCTCCTCCCCCTTCTTTGGGAGCTTAAAAGAAGGGAATAACACATCAGGTCACTGGCAGGAGCTGTTTGGCACCAAAACTGGAAGAAGGGGACAAAAAAAAGGGGGGAAAAAAAAAAAAAAGGCGGCTCCAGGTCTCACCGGGTTTTCCTCACGGGGCTGTTTCAAGTGAAAGTGGCTTTCTACAGCTTCACTGAAGACACTTTGCCCTGGCAAATTTGATGGCCAGTCCCCTCTGAAATCCTCCTTGGCTGTCCAACTGCAGGCCACTAAACGTGATGTTCTCTTTTGCAGCGACCCCTACGTGAAGCTCTCCCTGTACGTGGCGGACGAGAACCGAGAACTCGCTCTCGTGCAGACGAAGACCATCAAAAAGGTCCGTGCGCTGCTGAATTCCGCTGCTTTGGGGACGTTCAGAACGCTCTTGGGTTTAAAAAATACTCTTTTTTGGTTTTTTTCCATCTGGGTTTAAACGACTCTCCTCTCCAGGTTGCATTTCTGCAGGTTCTCAGTGATTTGCCTTTTTGCTCACGGAATCCTATTTATACCGAACGTCTATTTTGGGATCATCTGACTCAAATATCCTCCCCCGTTTGGGTTTGCTCAGCAGAGAATTTCTGGCTAATTTGATTGTTTCAAAGGATTTTCATTACCTTTTTTTCCCCCCTGGAAAAATGTCACTCGGGTGCGTGTTTTGATGGTTGCAAACTGGCAAACCTAAAGAAACCTCGGCACGTAAATATTGTTCTTTCTTTTCCAGACGCTGAACCCCAAATGGAACGAAGAATTTTATTTTAGAGTAAGTCTCTCTCTTTACTGGCAGTTAATCTTATTTTAAATTCCTCGCACTTGCTGGGGTGCTCCTGGAGGGGTGGAATGCCGGGCAGGAATTGGCCCCGGGTCATTTCCCAGCACACAACCTGAGATCATACAAATGCCAGGGGCAATAACTCTGGGGCTTGGCTGCACAAAATAGTTTTTTCCAGAGCTTTTCTGTCGTTTCGTAGCAGCCAATTCGTCCTCCTGCCCAAGATTTACATCAAACCCGGTAGTCCTGCCCTGTTTGCCTTGGTTTGATCCTTTAAACCAGTGCCCAGATCCTGCTACTGTCCAGCTGAGGCACCTCCAGTGACTTTTGGGTTTTCTTGCAGGTGAACCCGACCAACCATCGGCTCCTGTTCGAGGTGTTCGATGAGAACAGGCTGGTGAGTGCTCGTCTGGGGGGGTTTTGCTGATCCCAGCAGCAAAGGGGGGGGCTGGATGGCTCTTAGGGCTCTGGGGAACAGCGTGACACCGTATCTTGGAGAGATGAGGAATTCACATGTTCTGGGGGCAAAGCAACCTCTGCTAAACTTGTTTATTTGGTCACAATTCGAGTCGTGAAGGTCCTTCCGTTAAAACCAAACCGGCGTAGAAACATCTGTCTTCAACAACCATCCTTTGTCCTCTGTCTTCCTGATAAAGAGAGAGCAAAGGAGATCATCCAAGCTGTGATGTGGGGGATGTGATGTGTGTTTGCTGGCTCCGGGTTGGAGCTTCCATTTCCCTCGGGATTGCTCGTTTGGAGCTTCCATTTCCCTCGG